GTCGGGCCTCTCTGTGACCTGCCGCGACTGTCCTTCTTAATCTCCAAGGCCACCAGACAGGAAGCTCTGTTCACGAGGCCCTTAATCTTAATGTTCCAGCGCTGGAGCGAGCGCTCGTGTCTCTGGGGTTATCAGATAGAGAGTATCCTATTACAGATGTTTCATTGAATTAGGCTGGAGACTCCTCCAAAAAACTCAGCGGCAACTTCCCAGGCCAGGCATCGCACTCCAGCCGCTCTCAGCTGCAAAACAAAGTCGTCGTGCTCGAGCTTATAAACGAGTTCAAAAATAGTCCCCACGTAATTCTGCTCCTAAAAATTATGGGCTCAATTTGCTTCCCGCTGCGGGCGTCCAACCTTCAGGGGACACATACATTTAAAAACGACTTCTCCACCTCCACTGCCAGCTCAGCACACCTAGTCTGTGGTGCTCCCAGTCTTCCCACTGCACTCGGCGCTGAACAGAATGTGCTGTGGTTCTGCCCACAGGTCTGGCTATCAGGTAGGACTGGATCATCAGAATCAACCTCCTCTGTAGATTCCCCTGAAAGCATCTGCTCCAGGTTTTTGAACTTTGAAATCCTTGTCATTGTATTTCCAGCTGTTGTCGGTGACCCTGAGCGAGCATCATTCCCATCATTCATTCTGCTCATTAAACCCCATGACAACCAGAGAGCACGAGACTCAGCATTACATTTACATCCATAGGAGGAGTCACTACAGCTGACCTATATGCCTGATTAGTTCACAGGAACACCCTGTTTCTACCAGCAGCCTGCCGTCAGCACCCACCCAGTGGACTTCAGGGAGGACAGCAGCTACATGGGTGTAAATCCTCTCATATTACCAGTACAAGAAGACATATCTCCAGTTCTGTTGGGCCCTCACGACTACAGACCGCTGACCGGCCCTGAAACAAAGAGCAGCACCAGATCGGCCCACCGTCCTCGGTGTAGATCGTATCTTGGGACGGTGATCACCTCGTTATGCAAACATGCCCTGTGAGCGACCTTAGCCCGCGATCAATACCCGCCTATAGATCAAGCGCTGTTTACAGACATCAGATCGAGTCATCGAACCACAGAGGCGCTACCTGAGCCTGGTGAGCTAGACACTTTGAGAGCTCTGGGGTTCAGTCTTTGTATCACATTTGCGTCAGTTTCTTCTGCAGCGTCCGTCAAACGTGTTGACATCCGTGGACAGAAATGCTTTGAGAGGCGGGAGTTCTTGGCAGCGAGTTGCCTCCGACGCTTCCTGTCACCACCTGTGTTGCTACGGCACCGTAAATATATACCTACTGTAAAAACAAACTAAAACGGAGCATCGGCACCGTTGGATGCGTGTCTGTTCGTGACAGATCGGTGTGGTTGCACTCGCGGCCAGGAGGTTGTAAACTCGTAAAATCAACCTGAATATTTTATGTAAACCTGCGGTCGATGTGAGAAAGTTCAAGTTGCAGCGGTGTGTGTTTCTGTGGCTCGACACTCGGACAGCCTGTTCTCGGCTGTTTGTATCTGGTGGCTAAGCGATGACACAATCTGGATGTCAGACCTCGGGTGTAGGTGTATCTGACTAGTAACTCAAGCCCGATAATCTGGTGCTGCGCTCCGAGGGAAAGTCAGCTAAACTTTCTGAGAGCTTGTCTTCGACGTAGCCTACGGGCGCTCGCCGGAGAAAGCGAGGTGAGAAACAGCGGTCTCACATCGCCTCGAAATAGAGCTTTTTGTTTCAGATAACAGTCAGAACAGGAGAGGAAGAGAATTAGATAACAGTTAAGGAGAAAAAGGAGCAAGAAACCAGGGAGGCAGGCAAGGCATGCATGCAAGTGTGTAACTGAGTTGGGGCTGGATTAGGCCTGCTCGTTATGGATCAGGGACGGGGAGTCAGCGGTGGGGAGAGATGAGGAGAAACTGCAAAGCATGCCACGTTAGATGGGTACAGTAGGAGATCTGCAAAGGATCAGTCAAGAGGAGGAGAGAGGGAGGGAGGGAGGGAGAAGCCAGAAGAGCTCAGTTAAGGAGCTTAGTTGAGGTAGGTTAGCTCTGGAGATGGGCTGCATCAGGAATGAGGGGAAAGGGGGCCAGTGACCAGAGTTAAATCCATCTACTGTAACATTAGCATTCCTCCCATCACCCCCCTCCCTCCGGCCCTCCGTCCGTCCGTCTCCGTCCCCCGGTTGTGTGTCTTTCATTCCCCCCATCTAGGCGTTTTCCAGGTAAGACTCCGTGTTCGTCCAATCTCACGCCGTACTGCCCTTCGGTTTGCTGCTGAGGAGCGTGCTCAGTGTGACGGCGCATTTGACAGAGGACACAAGTCACACACAGCACTTTGGGAAACAAGCGCCTCTTTTGTCCACTTTGGTTGAACTGGAGATGATGGGATCGGTGTGTAAACATGTAAACCAACATGCTGTTTGGATGTTTACTGGAGGACGGGAGGGAGGGAGGGGGGATGACATTCAGTCCATGTGTGCAAACAGAAACTGGAGATCGGCTCAGAACAACCCCCCGATTCAAAGGTGTCTCCGTTTAAGTGTGTAGCAGTGAAGAACATCTACCTCCCTGAGTTTAACCTGCGTACCACTCCTCATACGTAGCTAGTGCTAAATAGTAAGACACACCCAAGACCAAAGAGTCCTGAACTAGTGCAGAACGTGACTCGTCGTTTGTTCTCTCTGGGGACACTCGGACCTCGTTTTGGCGACAGAAGACAAATTGTCTTGATCTCTAGACAAAAATCTTTAGAAGCAGCTAACGTCTGTGGAAAACTGTGACAACACTGTTCAATTAATTTAGTGAAGGGAGACACATAATGAGATGGTAATGCGTGAACACAAAGAACAGAAAGGCTTTTGCTCCTCAAAAATCTTTGGAGTTGCTGCTAAAAAGACTTTTCGTGCCGTATGGATCTATAACAATTGCATAAGGACAGGGAGAGAAAAAAATGAGAGAAGACAAATTGCCCTCTGGCAGACGCGTGAAGGTGACTTGAAGGAGTTGCTCCATTTTAGCACAGATTTCCTCCTCCTCCTCCTCCTCCTCCTCCTCCTTCGCCTCCTCCTGCTCCAGCTCCTACCGGCCTAGCGCACAACAGTTAGCAAAGAGACGCTTGCTTCAAAGTGCTGCTCACACCGTTGGTCTCTGCTGAGCTCCTACAGACGCTAAACTTAGCAGAATGGTGCCACTTTCATGCCAACTTCAGGGCCTACCTAATTCTCCTTTGGCCTACTGAGTTTGGAAAAGGATCATGGGTAATTTGTGTCAGAGGGGCTGCCCCTTCTACCCACTACCACCCCCACCCTCCAACCCCACTCAGGGCAGCAGTGGCGCCAGCTCGGTGAAAAAATGGCAAGTTGTTGTTTTGTTTTTGTTTCCACGGCTAGAGAACGAGGACTCACATGGTATCCCTACGGAGCAGCATAGTGGGGAAATAGAAAGTACAACAAAACATTATACAAACACACACACACATGCACGCACACACACACACACACACAACCTACACGTGCATGCTTGCACCCGACCACAGAAACACACAGAGACATACGTACACAAATCTGCCGATCTGAACACGTTATTCTGGAACTGAAAGGCATGCACTGCTCATGGAAAGTGTGTGTCACAGGATGCATGTGTGACCAAATCCAGGAGAGCCTATCAGAGGTCCTGAGCTTCTCTCCTCATCGTCTACCTGAGTCCAGATCTCCAAACGGACACGTAGAGCTAGCCACGTGCAGCGTCTCATATTTGCGGTTCTTTTCTAGCATGAAACACGTGAAACTCCTGCCTTACATAATGGAGACCAAACGATGGCAGCAATCTCGACTTATTGCCAATTTAGACCCTGTCATGGTTTAATCGAAGGCTACGACTAAGAGAGACAGATAGTAGACCAGTGTGCAGCAGAAGCCCTGAGCTGGACTCTGTGGAGACATCATTAATGCTGTTCGAACTCGCCGTCGCGCTGTTTTGATGTTAAGGGTGAACTCTCAGCGCTGTTGCGGAGCACTGCCCTGCCTCGGTGCTCCCGAGGAGCCGGCGACAAAGGTCAGCTCATCTGGTCTCCACCGTGAGCTTCACATCCACCAGTCAGCAGCTGGAGGCGCTGAGGGTCTGAGAGGATCCAAGGTCAGGTGTGCAGAGGGGGATGGTTAGTGGCAGGTTAACATGGGGGTAGTTAAGAAGAGGGGGACAGGAGGGAAGGGGGGGGTCTTAGTAAAAGCAGGCAAGGTGAGCTGCAGGAGGACACGAAGCAGCTTCAGTCAGGGCCTGGCTGACAGAAAAAGCCCTCCTCTGATCTGATGCTTCTACGCCGTGGTGCATGCACACGAGCATCCTGGGTCGGATCGGCGCTGCTGCCGTAGATCCTCCACCCACCCCGTTCACGGCCCCCCTCCCCACCCGCTACGCAAAGATGACTTTAAGACATCAAAGCCGGCGTTAACGTCTCGTTTCCCTGAGCAAATGCAAAGTGAGAAAGAAAGAGAGAGCTCTCCATCTCTCCCTGCCTCTTTCATTTTCAGCGAGAATCATTGCTGCCCCCTTGAGACGAAGCCCGATGCGCAGTTTTGGGGGAGAAACCGGGTCGGGGGATCCTGGGGGCTGCTGTGCATTACCAAAACAAACCATTCAGCAAACAAACAATTAGACACTCATGAATTATGGACCAGCCATCTAAGATAGCGATAAAAACAAGGAGCGGGAAGTCGTGGAGCGAGCGCTGAGCTAATGTTTCTGAGGCAGAGGTGTGGGATGTGGGCGCCGTCCTGCACACGTGGACAGGGTTTACATTTAACCTATTCTGCTGGTTCCACACATTTCCGTGGACGACTGCAGGGTGAGCGACAGAAAACAAGGTAACACTGTGAAGCGTGGGACAAAACAGAGACGAAAGTGACAGAAGAAAAGGTGTCTAGTAATCCACAACGCACAACTATGCATCAGCCATTTTGTTTGTCAGTTGGTGCCCAGTAACATCCATTATTCACAGCCCCGTGTTTACCTCTCACAGACACGCACAGTCCATGCAGCAATGATCCAGGAGGATATACTGAACACCAGCAGAACAGTTCCCGGACAGATGGTCATGAGGGTCTTCATGACGAAGCGCGTGTTGAAGTTGATCTTGTTGAGGGCGCCGATGCTGCGAGACGAAGCGTCCGTGAACAGCTTGCTGTGGAGCAGCATGACCCTGCCGATCAGGTAGAGTCTCAGGAACATGGGGATAGAGAGGATGATGTCCACGTCGGCGTCGGCCACCGACGGCGTGTAGGTGAAGGCCAGCCGCGCCGTCCAAGTGAAGACGTACTGGCCCGGGATGGGATGGATGGCACACACCAGCAGCTCCAGCACGATGAAGAAGATTCGCTCATACGTCATGGCTATCCTCCAATCGTCCGCACCATTGTCGACCATAAACAGCTGAGCAGAAACAAACAGAGGTCGTCTGGGTTACATGTCGTGCTTTATTGTCCCTTTTTTCCTTCACACAGCTCTGATGTTCAACCACATGCAGCCCTAAGTGGAGACTTCATTGTAAATTCATGCTGTGTGAATAAAACCAGACGTCTAAGTTATTCATCTGATGTCACTGCGTTTATCTGCGACACCGCTCAGAGCAAACAGAAACAAACAGAACCGACAAACTGTCACACAATCAAAGAGCCCATCAGAGTCCGGATTGCAGATTAAGTGCACTGTTGACTAGGTAACAGGAAAAGGAAGTGATAACGGTCTTGAACAGAACATCCTGGTTTAGCAGAACTCATGTATTTACATGCATACGTTCCTTATAGTGAATCACATAAACAGGATATTATAGATGGTATATTTGCTCAGGTTGAACATCAGAAACCCCCCAAAAGAGGGTGATAATTAGAATAAAATAAAGTTCTAAGGTCCGACTCACCTGGATTTCCCGGGCATGGTACATTATTATAAGACCAAGCAATATAACAGTGGAAAGGCTGATAAGGCATTTCAGTGCAAATGAGTATGAAGATTCCTACAGCGAGAGAAAAAGACATGAAGAAGAGAAAAGGACATGTTAATTACCAGCGAGGATCTTTACACATCACAGCTCTATACATCATCTTATATACAGGAAGACAAAGAAAACCTGTACTTTCTGTATTTTCAGGGTCTATAATTAGCCTCAACAGATCGTAATTGTCAGTTATCACTCTAACGATTTCTGAGTTTGCTGCTTAGCAACTGAACTTAACGAGGTGGTCGAACAAAACAGTTAGAATTAAGCCGAGCGTCTTCACTGTAACTCCATATTCCAGATGTTTTAGGTTTTAAGAGAGAAACCAAGGAGCAGAAGTCAGCGTTAACTAAAGTACACCCATCATCTATGAGCTGGCGTCCAAGCAGACCAGATAATGGCCTGTTTCACACAAACAGCGCCGTCAGGATGTTGCTAAACAATGCAGCTGCAGGTGTAGGTGCACCCTGATATTATCCACGGACGCTGCTCCCCACCATCCAAACTACCAATTAATCAGAGCCCAGCGCTAACAGGGGGACTTTCCACTTAATGGTAGGTGCAGAAAAGGCAAGGCTAGCATTAGCAGGGGGCCACCACAGAGAACGTAGCTGGTGATAAATAGGCCAGCTGGATGCTGCCACTGCAGCGCTGCTATGCGTGAGTGTACATGGGGGCCATAGATCTAGGAAATGAGAACCTGCTCAAATCCCCCCCATGTTGGTAAAGTGCCAAATGATAAATCAGTTTAACCGCCGTGGCGTAAAAACGCCGCTGTGCAGCAGAGTAATGATCACAGAGCTGTTATTATAATAACGACACCAACGACAAATGACAAAACAACGAGTGGAAATATCGCTCTGATCACCGACGTGACGACGGCCGGCGCTGCTCGGCATTACTGCGTCCTTCGCTGGTCCATATTACAGGATGTATTTTTAGCTATCAACTAGATTGCTTTGCCCCTCAGGTCGGCCACATGTTCTCAAGACATTCTAATGTCTGAAATTGTTTTGAGAAGTCCCTGCTGAAATAACACTGAGTAAACCAATTAATCCACCTGCCAGAGGTTCAAGGATTTTTCAGTCCCAGAGCTCGCTGCCTCTTAACGTGTTTGCCTCCTTCAGGGCTCAGAAAACCTTGGCTGTCTGCTCTGTGATGTGACATGAGATGGAAAACGGACCATTCACGGCACATGCTAGCTGTCTGCCGCAGGAGAGGGATGCAGATCCACTCACCAGCACCGGGTCATTTCCATTTCAGCTGAGGTCAGCTTGATGAATGGACTGAACTCCACTCAGTAGCAGTCACAGACAAATCTATTGACTTTCTTAAGACCCCATAAATCATCCTATAGATTACCCACGACTTACTATATCTTACACACACACACACACACACACACACACACATACACATACACACACACACACACATTTGTAATCAAAAACATATTTAAAAAATCTGACAGACAGACCGGGGAGAAATCTATCCCTTGTGAAAGCAGTACTAAAGGGTTTGTGTGTTACAGCCCATCTACGAATGCAGTTTAGAATAGTGCTTTTAAAAAAGCTGATATGTGCCCAACAGTTGAGGTTTGAGCCAGTCAGTGGACGTACATACAACACTTCTGACAAGTTTGAACAGAAACTTCAGGCGACTCTTGAACACAGATGTGCAAACATCCTGGGAAGCAGCAGAGCTTTAAGTTTCATCTGATGTCCTGTAGCTGCAGCACCACGTGATAACGTCACGCTGAAAGAACATCCAGGTGACAAGACATTAGTCTTACAGCTGCGATGAAACGCCAAAAAAGAGTGGGTCTGTGAAAAGACAAAGTCAGAAACTACCTGGTGATAAGATAACATAACCCACTAAAAAGTCAAAGTTAGTCAGTAGCTGGAAAAAAGAAAAAACAAAAACAAAACTAAGTCAGTCACTAGTAGGTGAAAACACAACGTTAGCCACTAGCCAATAAAAAGACAAAGTTAGCCACTAGCCAGTAAAAACACAAAGTTAGCCACTAGTCAGCTGTTGTACATTTCATAACTTGGGAAAGACCAAAAAGATTGAATATTGCTCTTACATTTGTCAGTTAGAAACATCACTCCACGCTAATGCTAATGCTAATGCTAATGCTAAATAAATGACTGTTTGCTAACATGTCTGCCAGATAAATTTCATAACACCATGCTAATATGCTAAACTTGTGTGGTGTTCTTGGTAGCGGTGCTACTTGGAGTAAATGGGCTTCAACACACAAACCACCTGTAAGTTCTTCAGCTGTAACTTGGTCCAGGTGTGAACCTCACCTGTACACTGCAGTGTCAGCTCTCTAACACACAGATCAGTAGATGCTGAGGCAGAGGCTGTTCTGAGTGCAATGAATGAATGATGTTCTTCTCAAAGCGTGACCCCACTGACCCTGTGGTTGATGAGGAAGGACAGCGGCCGGTCAAGTGATTTGGTCACATGACCCTGGAACCAGACTGCGTTGCTGCTGTCCTTGTCAACTCTCCCTTTTGTTTGTACAGCGTGCTGCGTCACTGGCACTCTCATGATTGGTAGAACTAAACGATGCACTCTGAGGACTGTGGAACTGCATTCCTATGTTTTATTCTTCCTGACCTATCTGCTCATCTCTACTTATATTCGTCTCTCCCTCTCTGTCTGAATCGTTCTTCATCCCCTTTCCTCCACTATCCCACTCTCCATCTGCCACCGTGGCACCAGCAGTGGAATCAATCCTTTGGCTACGAGCCAGTCTGATGAAAAACTTGTAACAAAAGTAGGCCAACAAGAAATGACTAAATAAAACGAATAGATTAAGTAGAACGTTTAAAAGGCCAAGTCAGAGTTTTAATAGAATAAATAGAGCATTAGTCACCGTGCAGATCACATGACACTCCTGTTCATTTGCATCGGAGCAATATTCCCAGTAGCTTTGTTAGATAATGTACGTCAATGTCTGTGCTAATAATCACTCTTCATAAAGCTGACAGCTGCAAACCCCACACAGCTCAAAGCACAACAATAGCAGTGACACCACACAGCGCTCCCACTCATGCATCACACACATGCACAGCCCACCTTCGTGTAAACCCCCCATGACAGTTCCGTCTCTGTCACCATGACGACAATCCCAAACATCCCGAAGATGAGTGCGTAATCGCTGAGCCGCTTCCGCTTCTCGAACAGTGCCCTCCGGTGGCCGAGCTTGTAGCCAATGTCCCTGTTCTTCTTCTGGGGAGCCCTGCCGCCGCCGCGCCCGCTGCCCTCCCTGACCAAGCTCTCATTGGACGCCTTGCTGGGGTCTTCGCCGCCGTTGCCCTTGGACACCACCACCTCCAGGCCAGAGCTGTGCAGCGTCTGCAGGGGTTGCGTCTCCGAGTCGAGCTCCGCGAGGTTGCGGCGCGACGAGGACGCCAGGCTGCCTACTAGTGGTCTCACCACGCCGCCATTGTACTTGCAGGTGTTCATGGCTATCTGAGGGAGTCGGCCGCTGCTCTCGGAGAGGGAGGGCTTGGATCCAGCATGGCTCAGCTTCTTCTGCTCAGTAGTGGCCTGTGAAGAGGAAGTAAAGGGATGAATACAATACTATCACAACAGAACGGTGTAAAGCTGACAGTAGGTTGGAGAAACACACACACAGTTGCAGACTTTAAATAGAGCGCTGATGTGGGAGTTACATCTCTGTAGCGCTGGAGAGGCCAAAGAAAGGGAAGGATCTTGCAAAACAATTTTTGGTTATAAAAGCAGACGGATTTAGAGCTCAGCAGGACGTGTGTCCAAACATACAGGAGGAATCAAAATAGCATTAGGTCTCGTACCAAAGACCCAAACGCTGGAGCTCCTGAGGAACCGCAAAGGTTCTCACTGAGGATGCTTGAAGCTCGTGTTAACACAACTTAAGCGGTTAAAACAACATTTTTCCAACACTACAGTACATATGTATCGGCTTTTCCTTCAGGAAAAATGGCATCAAACCTGGATAGCTCCAAAACAAATGAATAATGGATGGAGCCTGATGTATAAATAAAACCATATGACCAACAGTGGGCCCTACAAAGTGCAGAAAATTGAATCTTTGCGCTGCACAAATTTAGATATGAATGATTAATGCTCGGCGTGACCCTGTTTCCTGTCAGACAAACACTCTTCCCCTGCAGGGATGAGCGCCGGGCTGCCCAAAAGAGAGGACAGCAGGAGAAAACCCTGAGATTCCTGCGGATCTGATGGGAAAACAAAGGGCTCGGAGGACAGCGCGTACTGTACACGTCGGGATGGAGAACACAAGGTTACGCATACATATTGCATCTCGGCATAAAACCACGACGCTGAACCACTAAACTGTTGAGCATATGTATTTCTAATTGCAACGAGACACGAGGATTCGTTTTGCTTTTAAATCACCTGTACGTGTTTCCGTCCTACCTAAATGCGACGAGGCGCCTCCCTCTCTCTCTCTCTCTCCTCTTTCTCCGAGTCGTGCACTGTTTCTTGGTCGGCGGCAGAGAGTTTCTGCCCCGGCAACACCGACAGAAAGCGCTCCATCCACACAGAGGCTGAGGAGCAGTCACCCCAGAAGCATCTATCTGCCCGTCTATCCGCTGCCCTTCAGAGACTTGGGCAGATTATCATAATGCGTTATGAAAACTTCACATGGAACAGTGCTTTTTCCGAAACAAGTCGGGGGTGTGTGATAGCGCTGCCGGCCCTTTTTATTAGCCTTGACAAAGCATGCCTAATGCCTTTAAATGTGCTGGTGGGAATACAGAAGGGCAGCCCTAATGGAAATTTACTAACTCTGGTCCTGTGATGCTATCGTCTTGTGCATATTGTGGCTCCATGAGAACAGGACTAAAGGTTAAGGATTAGTGCGGCCTGTAGTGTTTCTAATCCCCTTTTCTGTATTAAATTGCTTTTTAATCTGTGCCATTAGGACCCGTCTATACTTTTGAAGACGGCGCCGTGAGTGAACTTTGGGTTTGAGCGACAGAAGCAGAGCAGATGCTGATACGGCAGCAGTGCTGGAGATGCAGCGCTCTGTAACGGGACAGAATCGGAGCGGGGAGAGCCGAGTTGTGCTCATTTGATTTCAGTTCAACAAATTAAAATAACAGCAAGTTCCCCACAGATGCTGCCGGGATTAAAGTCGCTTGTTACTGATTTTACAATTAATTCTGGCAATTTGCAACCTATTGGCAGCGAGGATTAGGATCCCAACATATTTAATTGATTCGCTGCCACACAAAGTTAGAAAAGATTGGATGCAAAATATGGATTTTGTCTGCTACAGGAATCTGGTGTAAGTACGGCAGCTCGATATCAGAAACATCACAGAGGGTGAACTACAGACGTACACAGTCTGGCAGAAGGCTCGCTGGATTGATCTTCACCAGCAGCAGCACCCAAACTGTGAGAAGCTGTTTCTATAAATGTTAAAAAAAATAAATAAAATCCTCTCCAGCTTGTAAATATGGTGCTTTAGCCACAGCAGCTCAGGCTGTCAGTCTTCTGTTTAGGATCCTCGCCATAACCGGCGCTGAGCCACCAGCAAACATCGTCGCTGCTTCTGGTGTCACAACATGATGTCACTCATTCTCAGAAGAGAGTTTCCTTTGTGTGGGAGCGAAATAACTCTGAAGTCCTGCTCCCAGCTCCGAGTATTTTTAGCCTCAGTCAAACTTCCTAAGATGCTTGATGTGTAAATACGGATCCTCGACGAAGAACAAATCAGAGAGACAATCACACAGACGCAGCAGCTACTGCCACCTAAAACAAAGCTTTGTGGATGTTTGTGTGAGTCCAGCGCTGGAGAATGGAACCACTTTTAACGGCAGCTTTTCATTATTCATTTAGTAAAAGCTTTCCTACAGAGCAACGTACACGTTTCCTCCATACATGTATACGTCAGGAGCAGTGCGGGACTCAGAGGTGGGCTGAAGTCTAAGCTAAGGTTTCCATCCATCCATCCATCATCGTCCCTCTGATCAGTTTATTTCTCTTGCAGTCTGTTTTTCTTCTATTCTTTTAACCGTCTACACACCAACATTGTGCGACAGGTGAGGCCATGAAAGGAGTCACAAGCAAACAAGTGGTCTCTATGGAAACCTGGACTTTACAGGTTTGTTGTTTTCAATTAAGCAAATGGTTGAAGGTTTTTCCTTAATCAAGGGACTCAGCACAACATCTTTGAGTAACTTCTTAGTTAAGGAGGAATTTAGCCTTAAGTGTCGTACCTGAAGAGAAGACTTCAGGTGTTCTGTACAACTGGCTGCCAGCAGAACTCTAAAGGCTTTAATTACCATAACGGTAAGACCAATTAGGAATCCCTTTATGATATCTGGTAAATACAGGCCTTGAGGAAGATCACTGTCAAACTGGGGCCTTTTCTGTTTGTTGATAAATGTTCTGCAGCACCAGCTCTGGATCATGTCTAGCTTTTAAAATGGAGGCTGTTCTGACGCACCTGTACCTCCGTGTGTTCTACTTCGGTTGTACAGCCGTGTGTGTTATCCGTGCATTTCACAACAGACTGTAAAACAAGCCCATGACTCACATGGTGTCGCCTTTTTCAATACAAATTTTGTCACGTCGGAGAACATAAGAAAGTTAAGGCACAAAAAGGTGTCTGTGTTGGCTGCAGGTGTGGTTTACAGATCAGAGTGAGCTGTGAGTCGGTGTGGCTGCAGAACAGGAGGCTTCTCTCCAGACAACAACATTCCTGGACAAACACACCTGCATGTTAATGTCTGAGTTTTAACTGAACTCACATCATAAAAGCGCGTTGTAGAGTCCTACACCCTCAGACTGTCTGGGTTCATGCTGCCGTCCAGCAAGAGCTTAGGTAGAAATAAATATCATAAATCATGGTTTCTTATGGGTGAGAAAAGGCTCAGATGTTTAAGCAAACTCACTTACAGGGCGATAGATCAGAGTAGTATGGCCGTGTTGTGACAGGCCGGACACGTAAACGGAGAACATCCCAGGAAGTGTTGCTCCAATAACGTAAATGAACAGGACGGGTGATGGACGGTGCAGGGCTGCTGTTACACGCTCAGCTTTAGTTACCTGCTTCTGGTGGTCATTCGTCACGGAACCAGGTCAGGACTGACCCAGATGAGCCGGGCCGTACCATCAGTCAGGCCGTGCGGACATGTACGCTGCATTTCTACACACCAGAGAGCGGCTGTTCACCCCAGAGAGAAACTAAAAGCAGGAAGATATGTGGAACTTAGAGAATACTAAAAAACCAACGGCTGACTTTTCTGGGCTGTATAACTAAAGAGTCCTTCACAGGCTTTGCAGCGGGAGTCCTTACATCACTGTTCAAAACCTCAAAGCACTCAATCAATCCCATACTCTCACCCACTTAGCCAGCTAGCCCGGCTCCCGAGCGTTTCCCCTGCAGCCCGACTAAACAGCGCGTCGGAAGGGCACGGCGGGCCGGCGTGCCCTTGGCGTCCCCCGATGCCCCCGCGGAGGAGACGCGGCGAGGCTGCCCGGCCAGCCAACCGACCGACGGCTCAATTTCATTCTGAATAGCGCGCGGCATCCAGGCTCTATGAAATGGAGACTCATAATCAAATTGAAAAGCCTCAGTGCAGAACAGTTTAAATGAAGGCCTTGCTTCTCTCTCTCCAGCCGATCTAATAGAAAATCCTCCTCCTTCGCTGCTGCGCGGGGCTGCTGTGCGGGGCTGCTGTGCACCAGTTGTGAAGGCTTATATACTCTAAAAATGGAATTGTGCATAACAACAACAACTGTTTGTGAGTTTGAGCGTGTTGGTGCCAGTCTGTTTAATTATGTGTGTGTGTCCGTGGGCGGGTGGGCGGATGTGTGCATATGTGTGCTAACCGAACGAGCTGAGCCGGAGCCAGGCCCAGATTAGGTCGGATATCGATGTAGACGAAACAAGCAGAAACGGCATGAGGAGATCCACGTGTTGGTAGGATCTGCAGACAGACGCTGACAGGCCTGACATGAAAGGAGGAAGAGAAAGAGGAGGGGAAGAGCGACAGAAATAAGGTAGACATCTAGAAATTGAGGAAACATGAAAGGGGGAAAAGAGAAAGAGATAAATGAAAGAGAGGCGAGACAGCTCCCTGTGGGTGTCTCTGCCAGCCCCTGGAGTGATGGAGAGCTGCAGGCTACACTCTCCAGTTTGTCCCTGCACACTAGACGCTGTCACATTTCTGTGACAGGCCAGCAGGCATCAGGGCTCCTCCGTCCATCGCCGACCAGCGCAGGGATCATTACTCAGCACTGGTAGAGACAGAAGGAAACCAGTGGCCGTAAAAGGAAAGCAGTCCATCACAGCTGTCTGCGGTGCTGAGGACATAAACAACATATATCCAGTGTAAGATCTCGTTAGGGCGTCAGAAACGAACAGCACGGGCACACATATCACATCTGAGGAATAATAATTTACAAACTGTCATCTTGCAACAGTAGAGAAGGTGAGGCTCTTTGTGCCGAGCCTTATCGCCCGATACTTCACGCCGTTACATCTCTGTGAGGATGTCTGCTGGTAAATAATGGCTGCTGCCGCCGCCGCTGCT